AAATGTATTTGTTATCTATTTTAAAATAGCCCCAAGTTATTTTGATACAAACAGCCATTCTGTTTAAAAAGTATTGGTTAAAATGGTAAAAAGCTGTTCTTGAAGTAGAAGAAATTGACATATAGAATATGAAGAAATACACTCCCTGTATAAATTGTTCCTAGAAGCCTAGAAAAAAGTTCTTGTTCTTTTGCAAAAGTAACCTTTTAGTAAAAAGGAAATTATCATATCAATAGGTACACTCTGACCAGGTGTGACTCTTGATAATAGCATAGTTTTGTTTTCTTTCCTTTAATGTTAAATGAAAATCATGCCAACTTCAAAAAAACTAGTAAATTTGGGTGAACTCTTTAAGAAGGAAAATGGCAGACTCCCTATAGCCTCCCAGATAAAGTTGACATTCCATATTTGGCTTTCTAGATTCTTCAGGGAGCTAAATTATTCATAGGCATTTAGTGAGAATCAGCTATGTGCCGGGTACTATGCCAAGTTCCAAAGGTAAGAAAATAATAAGTTGGAGTCCCACATCATTTTCATTTCCTGTAGTGAAGATGACAGATGTATAGATTATCACAGTGTAGCTACAGACATGCACAGTTTGCTGTGACAGCTATTTATAATAATTATATTTTTTTAAATTTCTGAGGCTCACTAATGGTTTCCCCCATTCTAATCCATTTATTGGTAATTTGTGCCTTCTCTTTTTTATGTATCAGTTTTGCTAGGGATTTATCCAGTTTTATTAGTATTTTCAAAGAATCAACTTTGATTTTATAGGTTTTCTTTAGTATGCTTTAAATTTCTGCTTTCATTTTCTTCTACTTTCTTTGGGTTTATTTTTCCTTTTAAAAAATCTTTGGTGGGTATTAGAGTGTTAGTTTTCAGCTCTTTTCGTTTTCTAATATATGCATTTAAGACTATAAATTTCTCTCTGTGCCTTGAGCCACATCCTACATTTTGGCTGTGTTATTTTTACAATCATTTAGTTAAAAATATTTTCTATTTCCGCTGTAATTTCTTCTTTGACCCTTGGGTTATTTTAAAGTTTGGTTCTCTTCAATAACAATGTTTTTATTGATTTCTTATTTATACTAAGATCAAAGAATATATTCTGTATGATTTTAGTCTTTTGATACAGATTGAGATTTGGTTTGTTCATTATATAGTCAATTTCAGTAAGTATTCCATGTGTATTTGAAAGTGTTATGAATTGTACAGTTGTTGAGTGCTGTGATAATATGTATATAAATTGGATCAAGTTTTTAAACACTTTTTTTCCTGTATCAATTGATTTTTGTTTGCTTGTTTTATCATTTACTGTGTTAATCTCCCACTAGGATTGTGGGTTTGCCTGTCATTGTAATTGTTAGTCTTTTGCTCTATGAATTTTGAGGCTGTTATTATTTACATAAAATTTAGAATTTAAAAATCTACATGGTGGCTCAACTCATCAGTATAAAATGTCCTTTTTTTCTTTTTTCTCTTTAAAAATCTCTGATGATACCTCTTACTTTAAACTCTATTTTATCTGAATGGATAGCTATGCCAGCTTTTTGGGTAGGATATGCATAGTATGTATTTTTCCACTCTTTTGCTTTCAATCTTGTGTTCTTATATTTAATATGTGTCTCTTTTAAGTACAATATAGTTATATAGTGTTCCCCCCAACTCTATCTCTTAGTTGTCATATTTTAGTCTATTTATATTTAAGTAATTGCCTATACTTTGGGATTATATCTAAACCTTACTATTTTCTATTTGTCTCATCTGTTGTCTCCTTTTCATATGTTTTGCATTAATCATTTTTAAAATTTGTATTTGATTTTTAGAGACAGCTCTCACTCTGTCACTCAGGTTGGAGTGCAGTGGCATGATCATAATGCCTATCATAACTCCTAGGCTCAAGCAGTCCTCCTGCCTCTGCCCCCTGGGTGGCTGAGACTACAGGCACATGCCACCTTGCCAAACTACTTTTTTACTTTTTGTAGAGATAGGGTTTTCCTGTGCTGCCCAGGCTACTCTGGAACTCCTGAAGCTATCCCCCTACTTTGGCTTCCCAGAGTGCTGGGATTACAGGCATGATCCACCACACTGGGCCAATCATATGTATTTTTTTAGTTCCATATTTTTAACCCATCTATTAGCTTGTTATAATTTTTAATGTATTCTCTCAGTTGTTGCTTTATTATGACGTGAATTCATAACTTATTGTACTAATAATAAATTATACTTTACCACGGACTGGATAACACAAGGACCTTAGAATGCTAACTTCATTTATCTCTTTTTGCTGTTTCCATGCATTTTAATTCTACATATATTTTAAACATCATGAGACATTCCTATTGTTGTTTTGTGAAGTCAGTATTCATTTAAACTTACCCTTATTTCCTCTTCAGGAGCTCTTCCTCATTTCCTGCAGTTCTTTGCTTATTTCTAGAATCTTTTTCCTTCTGCCTGAAGAATTCCTGTTAGTATTTCTTTTAGTGACAATCTACTGTAAACCAGTTCTCTCAGATTTTGATTGTTGGAAAGCATCTTTATTTCACAATCATTTTTTGAATGTGTTTTTCCTCTAAATGTAGAGTTTTAAGTTACCAGCTATTTACATTTGGCACTAACGATGTCATTTCATTGTCTTCTGGTTTCCATTGTTTATGCTGAAATGTCAGCTGTCAACCTGATTGTACTTACTTGAAGGTAATGTACCTTTTTAAAGAGTTTTGTCTTAGGTTTTCAGGAATTTTACTGTAATATGACACATTGAAATTTGTGGATTTCTCTGTGTGTATCCTTGGAAGCTGTAGGGCTTCGTGAATGTATGGTTAGATGTCTATTGACAGTTTTGGAAAAATCCCTGGCTAGTATCTAAAAATATTGCTCTGTTACAGTCTATCTTCTTTTCCTTTAAGACTCTACTTACGTGGTGCTAGACCTTTCACTAGATCCATTATGTCTCCTCAGTTCTTTATTTTTCATTTTTTCCCTCTCTTTGCATTATTATGAACATTTTTTACCCATCTTCCTGCTCACTAATCTTTTATTCTACTGTATCTAGCCTGTTGTTAAATTCATCCTATTTAAAGTCTCATTAGTTACTATATTTTTCAGTTCTAGAATTTTTATTTCATTCTGCTTTATGATTCTAGTTCTTTGTTAAAATCTTCAACCTTGTCTTCTCTTTCCTTGACATACAAAGTAGTAATCATTAATACTTTAAAGTCTGTTTCTGGTAACTCCATTACCTGGGTCACCCCTTAGGTCTGTTTCTATTCTGTTTTGTTTTGGTCATTTGGTCCTGTTTTTGGTATGCTTGATAACTTTTGGTTCATTGCCATACACTGTGAATTTAAAATTGTAGTGACTAAGGTTGATGTTGTCTCCCTCTATAGCGAAATTGTTTTTCTTCTGGCAAGCTGTTAGAGAGCAGTACACATCACCTAGACCAAGGCTAGGATTAAGATGACTCTAGGTTGGTTGTAAAGACTGCTCCATTTCATTTTTGCCCTTAGACTGGGGCATATTCCTCCAGGAGACTCCATTGAAAGCCTAGACTATTTACCAGGGTTTCTCCTCAGCAGGCCCTCAACTCCATTTGTTGTTGTGTTGTTATTTTGAGGTTCTTCAGCACTATTAGGCTACTAGAAGCTCTGCTTAGTTTGTAAGCCTCTTAGTTACCTCTTTCTGCTTGGCTCCTAGACCTTTTGCTGCTAATAGCATAGCTATTGGCAAATCCCTGGAAAGGAAGAGTGGCGACAAATATTCAGCTCACTTCATTGCATTTCCCCTCTCTCCAGGATTTTGGCCCCCTCAAGTCCTGCATGCCTTGGTTCCTCTTTGATGCCTTTAAAACCTGGGCTTTTGTTTGTTTTCTGGCTTGTTTGTTTGGAAGGAGGTTGGTCTGATATGTGCTACTCCAGTTTAGCCAGGGTTTGTACAAAGTTAGCCTCCTTAACCTTTTTCACATTTTATGTTTTCATGTGCTGAAGGGTAAATAGAAAGTTTAAATGAAGCAACTTGGCTGAAGAATTTGGTACAGTATGTGTCCATGTGCTTTATTCCTTTTATGTCAATAAATAGCAAAATTTTTAAAGCAGGAGATGTATTTCCTGTCCTATTTGCCCTGTAACCCATAGACACAGGTTTGTTCACTGAAGAAATACCCTAAAATATTACTACATTTATATAATAGGAATTTTAGCATAGGAAATATTTGTAGAACAAACCAAAAAACAGAGATATTAGACTAAGTTTTTTTTTTTTTTACTCCCTGTTGCTTTCAGTTTTTGTTGATTGAGGTGTTTTGAAATATATTTTTAGAGGTTATAAGTGAATCTAAATCTAAAATATTACAATGTCTTTGGAGAACTTGGACTTTTTAACTTTGTTGCTTTTATCCCAGAGCTTTTGTTAACAGTGGCTTACTTTTTAAACTGCTTCTCAGTTTACTCATCTGAAAAGTGGCAGCAATTGTATTACCTAGCTCAAAGGATTGTGAAAAGCATTAAATGCTATATATCAGTCTGCTTTGGTTGCCATAATAAAATATCATAGACTGGGTGGCTTAAATAACAGAAATAGATTTTATCTTCATTCTGGAGTCTGGAAAGTCCAAGATCAAGGTTCTGGACAATCCAGGCTCTGGTGAGGGCTCTCTTCCTGGCTTGCAGATGATTGCCTTCTTGCAGTGCCCTCAGTGTGTGGGCATAGAGGCTGGAGGAGGGAGATAGCAATCTTAAGACCACCAGTCCTATCAGATTAAGGCCCCACCCTGATGACCTTATTTAACTTTAATTACTTTCTTAGAGGCTCCATCTCTAAATATAGTCATACTGAGAGTTAGGGCTTCTGCATATGAATTTAAGGGGTCACAATTCGGTGCACAGCATACCGTATTACATAAAAGTACTTAAAATAGTACCTAACACATGGTGATTACTTAATAAATTTGGTTGTATGGTAGAGATGATTCTAACCTTTTTTTTTTTTTTCTTTTGTAGGTGCTGACTGGGTTACTTTTTTAAACACTAGGAATGGTAATTTCTACTTTTCTGGACTTCAAACTAAGAAATTAAAGAGACTTCTCTGTAAATAAACAGATCTCTTCTGCTGTCCTTTTGCGTTTGAAGACGCCTTTATTTCACCGTATCCAAGGACTATATAACTAGTGCTGTCATTATGAATGTGACAAGTTTATTTTCCTTTACAAGTCCAGCTGTGAAAAGACTTCTTGGGTGGAAACAGGGCGATGAAGAAGAAAAATGGGCAGAGAAAGCTGTTGATGCTTTGGTGAAAAAACTGAAGAAAAAGAAAGGTGCCATGGAGGAACTGGAGAAGGCCTTGAGCTGCCCAGGGCAACCAAGTAACTGTGTCACCATTCCCCGCTCTTTGGATGGCAGGCTGCAAGTCTCCCACCGGAAGGGACTGCCTCATGTCATTTACTGCCGTGTATGGCGCTGGCCTGATCTTCAGAGCCACCATGAACTAAAACCACTGGAATGCTGTGAGTTTCCTTTTGGTTCTAAGCAGAAGGAAGTCTGCATCAATCCCTACCACTATAAGCGAGTAGAAAGCCCTGGTAAGTGAGTTATTTTATGTTGATACGGTTTGTGTGCCTGGTACTGGATTTGTGTTGTTTAGAACATCAAAATAATCCCTTTCCTTGTTTTTGGTTGTAATTTAAAAATATTCAGGGAAACTGTATGTGTGTGTCTGTGTGTATGTAAGAGAGAAGGCCCTTGAGTATTTCATACATTTTAACAGCTTAATCATCTCTAGTTAACATTATGTCTTGGGAGCAGGCTATGACAATTGTCATTGCAGTACTAATACCTCTAATTTTTAATAAATTTTCTTTCTAAATTTATTTTTTATGTCTCACATGGTTCTCTGCATTTCTCTAGATAAAATTAGCTATGAATTGTATTCTAAGGGAAGAAAATTAGGAAAGAAATACAGTATTGCTGTCTATATGCTTGAAGGAAGTACGTCATGAGGATAGTTGCCAGTGACTTAAACCATTTGAACTTAAGAACAGCACTTTTTATCGTCTCTGTGACTTTTGCTGTGGCATGTTTCCTGTGGTGAATATGAAAGAATTATGTTCTTCTATGGAATTATTTGATACTACTACTTTATAAATATACCTAGTTTTTAACATGTATAGTCTTTTGGAAAGGTACAGTAAAGGATATATTTTAAAATTTGTAGGGTTTTGCCCTCAAGTTAGAATCTACGTTCTAGACAGTTGGATCATTGGAAAGTGATTAGATATTCAAGCACTTACATGTCTCATCGTCAGATTGGGGCCAATTTCGTTAATGGATTGGCTGTTAATAGTTACTGGGGTACTAAGGCTGTACATTAGAATCACATGGCTCTCCTCCCAGAAATCCTGATCCTGGGATAGCCTGGTAATCTGTGTTTTTAACAAGTACTTCAGGTGTTACTGATGTAGCTATTGGATTGGTGTTTGGGAATTACTAAACTAGATCGTGTAATAACATGGTTTTCAAATAAAAGGCATTCTGTATTTTTGTGGAATATTTAAGACATATTTTTTAAAAAGATTTTAAAGACGAATAGTATAACAAACATCTTTGTATCCACTACTCATTTTAAGCAATAAAAGATTACGTGTAAACTGGAATCCCTGTTTTTGCTCTTCTGATCCTGCTCCCTTTGGTAACCACTGTTCTGAATCTGACGCTTATCATTCTCATGCATGTTTTTATACTGTTATTACATACGTATGAGTCCATGACAATATGTAATATTTTATATATTTTAAAATGTTATATAATATTGGAGTTTCTTTGTACAACTTGTTTATGTTCATCCAACATTACGTTTTTGTGATTTCTAGATTATATACTTTAGGATTACCTTGTTAAGTCCTGTGAAAAACACTTTGGGAATTTATTGGAATTTCATTGATTTCATTTGGGGAAGACTGGCATAGTATGCTCTTAAGCATAATATTATTTAGTGCACTTTTAAGTTTCTCCATACAGCCCTTGCACATATTAGATTTATTTCTAGATAACTCGTTTTTACTGTATCCTTCTAAAAGTTACATTTTGTCACAGTTGCTCTTGGCTAAGAGAGCATTGCCTTTTTTCTAACAACTGTGCTGAATTCTCCTTACCAGTTCCAATATAGACATTCTTTACTGCTTGTTATATCAGCTGTGATGCAGTGTTCTTTTTTCTAAACTCAACACAGAGGTACATGTCCCTCTTCTAGCTGGAAATGGAAATGGAGCTGAGAGTTTTGGAGAGTAAAATGTAGTGGATAAGTAATATGTACCAGCATTATTATTTAGGCACATGATTTTTCCGATCCTCGTAGTAACCTTAAAAAGTACTAATACATAGGGAAGATTTTAATTCTACTGCATATGTGGCAGAGAGGGATCTTTTAAGATGCAGACATGATCCTCTTGTTGTCCTGCTTTTCACTGCTCTTGGGAAGTCCTCTAGAGAGGTCTGCACATTCTAGTCCTTGCCTCCCTTTCCAACTTCCTTTGTACTCTTGCATGCTTTGTGTGCTTGAGTTCTGTGGAAACATTCCGTGCACGTTTCCTCTATCTGTACCTGTTTCTCCTCCGTCTTTGTCTAGTCTACTCTTATTTATCATTCATGTCTAGCACATGGTCATTACTTAATAAACTAAGTAATTGTGTGATGGAGGTCAGTTTCATTGGGAAACCTTTCTTGATACCTCCTTCTCCACACATATCTCCCTGTTCCACTTGGGGAGGTTAGGTCTCATTTCCCATAGCAACCTGAATTTCTTTAGAATGTTCTTCACACTTGTAATGATTGTTCTCTTGGTTTTCTCTGCAAGATAGAAAATAAAGCTCGATGAGGGCAGGCACTGTGCATATTTATTAACGTCTCTATTTTTAGCAACAAGCATAATTTGATAAATGTTTGCTGTTAAATGAGAAGGCTGACTTTTAATTTAATATTGTCATTTGGCCATTTTTTTAGAGCTGAATTTTCAGTTTGTCTATACCTTTTGACCACCTTCTTCCCTTCTTTGGTCATTTTATGGCTATTATACCTCTGATACAAGGTGAAAAGTTAAAACCAATACTGAGATGAATTTGTTACTCTTAATAACATAGGTGCTAATAAAATAATGGGGAAGAGGTGGAAAACTGGCTTACATAAGCATTTTGAGACTCCACAAATGCCATTTCAGCCTCCCATTTATCCAGGAATCTTGTGAGTCATAGATAGAACAGTTCTGGAAAACATGGAGGCTGAGGCTAAGATCTATTTAATTTGAACATATCAAGATTTTATGTATATTTTTCACATTGTGAAGTGACTGATGTGGGAATTGGAACAAAGGACTTTTTCCAGAGACCACTATGAAGCAGTCCCTGTACCTTCTGAAGAGAAACTCGACTAAATCAAAGTGCAAGAATCAGCCAGATGTAGTGGTACATGCTTGTAGTCTCAGCTCCTCAGGAGGCTGAGGTGGGAAGATCACTTGAGCCCCAGAGTTGAAGGCTGCAGCACAGTATGATTGTGCCTGTAAATAGCCATTACGTTCTAGCCTGGGCAGTGTAGTGAGACCCTGTCTTAGAAAAATAAGGTTAAAAAAAAAATGCAACATAGTGAAAGCCCATCTCTACAAAAAATATAAAAATAAGCCTGGCGAGGTGGGGACGCCTGTAATCCCAGCTACTCAGGAGGCCGAGGAAGAAAAATCACTTGAACCCAAGAGGCGCAGGTTGTGGTGAGCCGAGATCATGCCATTGCACTCCAGCCTGGGGGACAAGAGTAAAACTCCATCTCAAAAAAAAAAAAAAAAAGTGCAGGGGGCTCTAGCCCCTCACACTGCCAGAATTGAAAAGTCATTTCCCCCTGTAAACCCCTATAGAGTACACCTGGGTATTATTTCTGTGAAATCAGAAAAAGGGGGTCTGGAATTCTAAGCTGCATGTATACACAGCTCAACACTGAATGATTTTGAACTTTGTCACTATTTTACCTCTGATGAAGTATCTCAAAGAACAGTTTAGCCGTTTAACATATTTAAGTCTCCCAAACTTGGTGTTTTCTGCTGAGGTCCCAATGACTCTTGAAAATAACTCAAAAATTGAGAATATTTAGGTTTAGAGTAGTGGTTTTCAAAGTGTCATCCACAGACTAGTAGCATCAGCACCACCTTGAACTTGTTAGAAAAGCTAATTATTATTTTAAAATTGACAAATAATTTTATATATTTGTGAAGTACAGTGTTATGTTTTGGTATGAGTATACATTGTGGAATGATCAAATGAGGCTAATTAACACACCTGTCACTTCCCATGTGTATTTGCTTATTTCTTGTTTTTGTTTGTTGTTGTTTTTAATTTCTTTTTTACTGCCTATTCTCTGAACCTTTTTTTTATTGAGGTGGAGTCTTGCTCTGTTGCCCAGGCTGGAGTGCAGTGGCACAATCTCGGCTCACTGCAACCTCCACTTCCTGGGATCAAGAGACTCTCCTGCCTCAGCCTCCCGAGTAGCTGGGATTACAGATGTGCTTCACCACGCCCAGCTAATTTATGTATTTTTAGTAAAGACGGAATGTCAGCCACGCTGGTCTCAAACTCCTGACGTCAGGTGATCCACCTGCCTCGGCTTCCCAAAGTGCTGGGATTACAGGCGTGAGCCATCGAGCCCAGCTGAACCTTTTTTTTTTTTTCCCCCACCATACTAATTTCTTTTTGGTGAGTACATTTAAAATCCACCCCTAGCCTAGGCAACATAGCAAGACCCTGTCTTAATTTATTTTTTAATTAGCTAGGCATGGTGGCATGTACCTATAGTCCTACCTATTCAGAAGCTATGTCAGGAGGATCACTTGAGTCTAGGAGGTCAAGCCTGTAGTGAGCTATCACCATGTCGCTGTACTCCAGCCTGGGTAAGAGAGAGACCCTGTCTCAAAAAAAAAAAAAAAAAAGAACTCACTCTTAGCAATTTTGAAATACACAATGTTTTATTAGCTATAGTCACCATGCTGTGCAATAGATCACCAAAACTTACTACTCCTAGCTTAAGGTTTGTACGCTTTGACCAACATTTCCTCTTTCCATGTTCACCCCTCCCTGCAGCCTCTGGTAACCACCATTCTAATTCTATACTCTACTTTTATGAGTCTGACTATTTTAGATTCCACATGTAAGTGAGATTGTGCAGTATTCATCTTTCTGTGCCTGGCTTATTTCACTTAACAGTAATGTCCGCCAGGTGTCACAAGTGACAATTTCCTTTTTTAAGGCTGAATAGTATTTAATTTGAAAAAAAAAGTTTCAACATCAGTAATCATCAGGAAATGCAAAAACTGCAGTAAGATATACCTTTTACCTGTTAGAATAGCTGTTATCAAAAAGATGAAAGATATCAAGTGTTGGCAAAGATGTAGAGAAAGGGGACAGCCATCGTGGAAGACAGTATGGAGGTTCCTCAAAAAATGAAAAATAGGACTACCATATTATCCAGCAGTCTCACAACTGGGTATATGTCCAAAGGAGGTCAAATCAGTGTGTCAAAGAGATGTCTACACTACTATGTTCACTGT